GGGACCTGAAGAGAGAGAGAAGATCAGGGGAACGGGGACCTAGTGGGCCTAGAACTAACCCAAGGCCTGGGCCTAACCCCAGGCCTAACCCTAACCGTAGTCATATCCCTAACCCCAGACCTAACCCTATCTCTACCTCCCGGGAACGCCGGGACCTGCAGAGAGAGAGAGAAAACTGCTCAGGGGAACGGGGACCTAGACTTTAGAGGGCTTTATTTCATCCCACGAACTCATCAGGCCAAACAAACTGTGTCCGTAAAAGGGCGGATATGCTGGATCTCTGAGACCCCAGGTTTAACTATAGCCCCAGGCCTAACTCTGACCCCAGGCCTAACCCTAACCCCAGGTCTAACCTTAGACCTAACCCCAGTCCTAACTGTAACTTCAGGCCTAACCCTACCCCTATCCCTATCTCTATCCCTAACCCCAGGCCTAACCCTTTCTCTACCCCTCACCCTAACCCTAACCCCGGGCCTAGGCGGGCTAGGCCTAACCTCTGGTGGGCGGGGGCAGCAGCGTGTCCTCGCTGAGCCCCTCGGCGACCCTCAGCCGTCTATCTCTAACCCCAGGCCTAACCCTAACCCCGGGCCTAGGCGGGCTAGGCCTAACCTCTGGTGGGCGGGGGCAGCAGCGTGTCCTCGCTGAGCCCCTCGGCGACCCTCAGCAGTCGGGCGCGGAGCTCCCCGGCGTCCGGAGGGAGGAGCGGGGCTAGGCGCAGCAGGCGGGACGGCCCCCCCAGGCCCCCGAAGTCCTCCGGGTACTCCGACAGCCAGGTGCTGAACACGGTGCACACCGCCCTAAGGGGGGGGTTAGGGTTAGGGTTAGGGTGGAGGGGGGCCATTAACTCATTGGCTGCCAAAGACGTCTATAGACGTCTTTTATGTTTTTCAACGAGAGTGGCTTGGGGGACGATCTGCTAAAGCTTGTCCGTAAATATCGGCTTCTAGACAGAGTATGTAGTAACAAATTGACCCTCTAGGGGGCAGTGCCACTTTTGATGGGAGATGAGCATAGACTGTAGGCAAATAAGAAAAAGCTAACGGTTCTATGAGAGAACATGTCGCCGGTGAGACGCAAGTCGAGGAAGAACGGAATAAGGTAGAAACAAAAAAAATTTTCCTGATGAAAGAAGAGAGTCTACTCTTTCTTTTGGTGTGTTCGGTGTTTACATAGTCATAGCACAAACTATTCTGTGGCTCTTGAAAAATCAGTCAAAAAGCTAAAAAAACTCTGGCAGTACGGGACTCTCTGTTCTGAAAATGGCTGGCAGTCAATGAGTTAACCATTACAGACCTTTAACAGCTCATACTACAACTCCCATAATGCCCTGCTGCTGTTGAGGACAAGACCCAGAAACTCCTCTGTGACAGTAGCTACACACTACAGCTGTCACTGTGCTAAACTTCCCAAAAATGACCAAAAGAAAGGCAGGAAACAGGAGCTTTCTGGACAAGCTCATTTAATTTAGATATTTAATTCAGAAGGCTATTTTATTTAATAAATGAATGTCGTTGATATGTTTTTTTATTTGAAATTTGATCTTGCATGTATCCACTATTAATATATATATATATATAATACATTAATGCACATATAAGCCTAATCCTGATCCTAACCGTAACCCTTCATAACTGTGAGAAATAAATATTTTTTGGTTAAACTTGTTTGGACTTACTGTACAACTTATTTAACATCCACTATTTTAACATAATATTATGTATAGAGTTTAATTCAGTGTTTGTAAAACTAATTTCACTATTTTTAAACTAATGTCTATATTGCCATGAAGCAATTAGGATTTTCTTGCCTGGGATCTTCCTATTGGTGACCTAATCAAAATGGCCGACTTGGATGTGGGTGGAGTTGGATATATGAGCGCCACTAATAACGTCTCAGCAGAGTCGGAAGCAAAAATAAAAACCATGGTAAAAAATAATCTTTGAAAAGGGAAGCGGGACAGTTTTCTTTTTTTTTCTTTTTTTAAGAAGAAGCTGTGGTTTTACCAAACAGCTGCGCGTTTCTATTTTGGTGCAATCTCAAATGTTTGAGAGACTCACCTGTTGAAAGACTGTCTGGTCTGGCTCCGCTCACCGTCTCCCAGCGGGCTCTCCAACCTGAACCACAGAAAAGGGTTTGAAAGTCCTCACCACACATAGCAGTGTTAGAATTAGGCTATAACTATTCACTTTAGCATAGTATGCTATAACATGATCTATCTTAATTATAGATTGTCTTATTCCTTTTAGAACTATACTTTTGTGTTAAATTCTCCGGCTGTAACCACAAATTGTCTTTTTCTCTCTGTTACATTACACACGTCATTAGGTCAACCACACAAACAAACTTAGTTACCACGTTCCAGGGTTAACTGCATTAACTAGGACCTGGCCTGTTCCTGTCAGGGTTAGGATTAGTAAGTAACTGGCCAATAAGCACTCAGTCGTGTCCAGTCCTTTTTAGAGGTGTGCCCAGCCCCACAGATAAATAAATACCCATGACACACGGAGTTCGGGGCTCTGATATACTTTTCCTGCGACCTAATAAATGTCGATTTTTACACTTGATCTAATCTGGTTTATTCTCAGGTTTCCGACCAAGGAATCGGGCTAATTACACATTTTCTGGCTTTACACGTCTCAAAACTGTTTAAGACCAATGAGTGTAACACTTTTTTTTTTTTTTGTTATGAGCTGCTAAATATGACCAGTTTCCACGGAAATTTGGTAATTTTTCCTGTTTTTAACTCGCCTGATTCCAGAAACAGGATTATAAAACAGACCTGTGAAGGGGGTGATGAGTTAAGCTAAAAGCTAACAGCTAACGGCTAACAGCGGCTAATTTGCTGCTTTCCCCTTAAAAGCCTTTTAAGGGAATTTTTAACTCAAATCACTTAACTACACCCCGAAAACCTAAACTGGCACCCAAACAGGGACATTTCACAGCTGTTCTTCACACATTTACATTAAAACCCAAAGCTTTGGAAGTTGTGAAGACTCCAAGGTCTCTACTGAGCTTGTCCCGATCCGATATCTGGATCGGATATTTGATATTTGATGTTTGATCGCGGATATTTGCTAAAAACTGCGTCTGATAGGCCGGGATCGGGATCAGATTGGAAGTGAAAAAAGATTGATATGGTCTTGTTGTCTTTCTCTCTCCTCCTTTTTCTTTTTTTTTTTTTTTTCTCTCCCACCTCTCTCCCTTTCTAAAGGATCTCTCTCCACTTTCCACTACCCTTCCCTCCCCCCTGTCCCTCTGTCAGGTTCAGCATTATTGGACATATGGAAGTTTGGTAACAAAAATGAATAAATAAAGAAGTTTTGGGTAATCAAGGGGGGCTTCTCACTAACAAAGCCTCCCTTGGCAAAGCAATTTTGCTCAGCATAACACGGTACGCAGATTTCAGTTCTACTACCATAATCCTCAACAGGACAAGGTAAAAGAAAATAAAAAATCAGCTAATCCACTTCAGAGCTT